CATCATGAACTCCTTCGTCAACGACATGCCAAGCATGCCACAAGTAAGCTGCTTTTTCACCCTGTGCCAGACCTCCTCCAACTAAGGGATCTTCTAAGAGCCACCAATTCTTTTATTTGAAGAGCTTTGCCACTGGTGTTTTCTTTCAGTTAACTTTTCAGCCTCTAAGTCTCGCTTGTTTAACCTCTCGTCTTTCAAGTCCCACTTATATACTGTCTTTTGGGACCAGGTTTTCATCGGTAATTGCAGTTTTTTCCTTATATCTTTCATTCCGAGGTTTTAACGCTAAGCCGTGAAACGCAAAATGACTGAAATTTCAGAAATCTCCATAAGGGGGCAGCAGGAGATAAGAAATAACTTTATACGACTGTTATTCCGATCTGATGCTATAAGGAAACTGTAATTATGACCCTTAAAATAGTAAAAAGAAAATTAAGAAACAACTTACGTCAACATTTAAGGCATATATTTTAGACAGAAGGTAATTTTTTTCAAGGTAGGGAAGCCTAACGAAACATAGCTAAAATAAACACCTACGTGTTTCCTTATGAATATTAAATACTCAAAGGCAATCTAAAAACATATTGGCCTATAAACTATATGATTGTTAACGTGTCCCTGCTATGGGAACAGGGAAAAGGAACAGACCAGGGCTGAAACAGGCCCAGGTCGGGGACAGAAAGCACTTTAACCTTCTCTCATTTCAGAAAGCAAGAACTTTTGCTGAGCAGCAGCACGCAGGAAACGGAACTTGGAGGACAAGTGGCTTACAAACAGCTGGCAATCGAAGCAGCTCACAAGCATTCACACAACAAGCAGGGTGAAGTCCTGCTGGTGCCTGGGTACCATAGAGCAAAGTGTAAAAACTTCAGCTATAATCAAGTGATATTGCACACATTATTAATACTGCTCTGAAGGTTTCTGACCATTGGGATTGATCACTAATTAAGAGAATATGCCCTGACCAAAGCTACAAGCAAAATGTATTCAAGCTCTTTTATTGAAAACATGGGTGGCTCTTAAAAGAGCCTTTGGGTTAAAACTGACGGTCCGGGACGCTCTACTTGGAGCTGGTGTACTTGGTAACAGCCTTGGTGCCCTCGGAGACGGCGTGCTTGGCCAGCTCGCCGGGCAGCAGCAGGCGCACGGCTGTCTGGATCTCCCGAGAGGTGATGGTGGAGCGCTTGTTGTAGTGTGCCAGGCGCGAAGCTTCGCCCGCGATGCGCTCGAAGATGTCGTTGACGAAGGAGTTCATGATGCCCATGGCCTTGGACGAGATGCCAGTGTCAGGGTGCACCTGCTTCAGCACCTTGTACACGTAGATGGGGTAGCTCTCCTTGCGGCTCTTCTTGCTCTTCGGGGTCTTGGTGACCGCCTTCTTGGAGCCCTTCTTAGGCGCCGGAGCAGACTTCGCTGGCTCAGGCATCGCAGCAGATACTCGAACCGCACACCAACAAAGAGCGACAGAAAGAAACTGGTAACACCGCTTAACCTCGGGAGCCCTTTTATAGCGGCTCAGTCGACCCCCCCGTCGCATCGCTATTGGTTGTATTTC